CATTCCTTCTTATTTTTATTGATATAGCAATAAAAAGTATGGCAGTCCATAAAATTTACCATGTACAAAAATGGAGGTTTACAGTACAAGGACTAATGTGCTATACCTATCTGAAACGTATATATGGAAAGGATTGTTGATCCAAGATCCAAAGCCCCTTCGAAGTACTAGGTAAACTGTGAAAATCCAAAAAAGTTTCAGGAAGTCCTAGTGAAGCCAACCTCGCTAGACTTCCTGCAACCGCATTAGCTTCTCTGTAGATATGAGTAACAGTGTAGCCCATTCGGAGTTTGATTTCCTTGAGCTCTTTAAGCTCAAAAAAATATTTCGAAGGTGTAGCATTTGTTGAATTTAGAAGATCCGCAAGAGCTTTATTGTCCGTTTGAATTTTCACTAGCTGAAGTCTCAAAGATTCACACTTACGAGCTCCAAATAAAAGTCCCATAACCTCAGCCATCAAACTATTTCCATTGCCAAGATAGCCAGCTTCTCCATAAAGATGTTTTCCAAGATGACCCCGTATTAAGAAACCATACCCAGAATCAGAACCCCTATCAATCGAAGAACCATCACAATTTAAAACAAATTTGTTAAAATCAGGAGGCTTCCAAGCAATCCATTTGAGTGTTCTACGCTTCAGCTTGAAATGGATAGATGGAAAGATATTCTCCATGAAAGCTTTTTCAGCATTGTTTCGAACTTCAACCTTGTTGATAGAGAAAACATTCTCCAAGTCTTGCATGACAGCTTTCACTATTACTTGATGTGGAGTACAAACATTATCAAAGATTGCTTTGTTTCAATGAAATCCAATATCTATTGGGGTACTTGAAACATTAAAGTATGGATTCACAAGAAACTCTCGGCCAAGTGAGAAATCAGTCATATTAATTTATGTTCACCAAATCCTTTTCCATCATTATGGATTTTGTTTCTACAAGATTAATCACTCTATACATTTTTAGAAATTAGCAAAGGGGACTTGTTATGAATAATGGCTTCTATTCCATTACTGGAGCAAGAGTATTGGATATCGTTTCAAGATTTACAATCAAGTTGGTAGGTAGAGTTACAAAGAAGTTTGTCAAAGTATATAAGTAGTTTCGGCTCCTATCTCAAAACTAATTGGCGAGTAGTGGAGTGATCTTTATTACTTATATATTGAGCTACTTCTACTCATGTTGACAGTGTAGGACAATACATCTGAACACCCTCCATCAAATCCAATGGTATTTGAACTTTAGCCCAATGGACTTGGATCACAATAACAACATAATTTATCAATACTCCAGTTATACTATTAGGTTAATCCACAACAAGCCCACAAGCACTTCTCCAGTGGCTAATGTAAAATCATCATAGGCCACCTCCGCCCAAGAACACAAACAAGACAGGCCACCTCCAGCCCAAACCACCACCACCGGCCCAACCGTGAAATTGTTCGATTTTTATTCCTTTTTGTATCCCATAAAAGTTTATACTCTAATGTTTGTTTCTCTTTCAGATTTTCAGTACTTTCTTTATTTCTTGGAGTTGAGTTTATCTACATCAGGGGTTGATTGCTGAGAAAAGATTGAGACTCGAATAACGACCCCTTTCTTAAAATATCCTTCATAATTCGTGCTAAGGTTTACTGGCCATCACTTTAATCTGCTAATTCACATCTAGCAGTTCATTAGACCGCAACTGCATATCAATCTTCCTTTTCAGACATCATCGGCATAGTTGTATCTCCCTCATCTTCTTATGCAATTACAGTTGTGAAGTGATACTAGTTTAATGTCCCTGTGTTACCTTTTATCATTTTCTTCAATTTGTGTTCATCCATTGCAAATTGAGCTGAGAGAGTCGTCATTGACAATTCTTTCAGCTTTGTTCTAATAATGGATTAGATCAAAATTGCTCATCTAAATTCCGGCGTTTCTTAATTTGGTCAAGTTTTCATAAATCAATACTTCAATGCACCAATGCATCTTGGGTCGTACTGCTTAAATAGCCTCTCTGTATTGATATACAGGGGTAAGGCTGCGTATATCTTGACCCACCAGACTCTAACCGAGTTGGGAATATACTGGGTTGTTGTTGTTGTTGTGTTCAACCCTCTTACCTCAATTCTGTTTTGGAGCCAATCCTTTGTTTGATTTTGTCTCGTGGATCATGTACGATTTGGGTTGGCTTGTTTTTGCATCATGACTCTTGACCACCGAAGAAACATTTAGTTCTCAAAGATTATTCTGAATATATTTGATGTGTTTATGATGCCAATAGAAATGAATCTTTCTACCAATGGTTCTGACAAAATTTTTAATTTCGGGATCTATGTATACATTTATGTGGCACGTTTGGCCCTAAAGTTTTTTTTTTTTGTGAGTAATATTTACTATAATATTTTGAGTGTATTTTAGCTTGTCCTCAGTATATGTACATAATATAGTTCAATTGAAAGTGTGTAGCTAGTGCAAATTTTGTGTTGAAGATGTTGATGTTTATTTCTTATTTATCATTTTACTATTATCATATTCGAGTATTATATTTGCTAATGGAATCAAATCTCTACTTTGCAAATCTACAACTTTGGCTCAAGCAGTTTTCAATCCACTGGATTTGGCTGTGAACCTTCCTCATCTAGCAGTTTATCTTAAAGGCCTTCTCTTCGAGATATAGATGTCTTCAAGTTTATTGTTGGCATCGATATTGCGAACGCATTCCTGATGAGTAAAGTTAGACAATTTTTGGTTGAAGGTTTTTGTTATCTTCATGTTCATTGTTGGGCTCTTAGATGAGATTGGCATTATATCATTGAAAGGAGATAGATTGAGTTTTTTATGTGCAGAAAGGCGGGTAATTTCAATGCTCGTGCTGTTTAGAACATTATGTTTATGATGGCTACTTATGATAACTATTGAGAAACACTGCACCAACTAATCCAAGAATGTTCAGACAAGGATAAGGTGAATGATAAAGAAGCATTGATATACTATGAGACCTTCCTTACATTTTTAAGAAGTCATATATTTTTAGATTTTTTTGAGAGATTTTTATCTCGTAATGGAGAATCTACCGGAAAAAGACACTCCTCGAATTTGCTGCATCCAAAGACTAAGAAAGCTATATAAAGAGATAAAAATTTGACTGGAATAGGTTATATGGAGCCTTGCCCAAAACCCAGATCAAACCCCGCATTTGGAGTTAAGATAAAGATAGTTTTTGCTTTCCTTATATAAAAATATCATTGGGTGATGACCTTTTCTTTCAACTCTTGGTGAAATACAAATAAATGTTTAGTTCGATGGTGTGCTTGTGTATATGATTTGACAAAATAGAGTATAAAATTTTGTCACTGCTTTGCATAAATCATTAAAATATGAACGGGTTCAAACTTAGTATAACACTTGTACTTACAAAATTGATAAAATGTGTCATTTAATTCTCTCAGTTTTTTTTTAAATTATTTACTGTATTGTGAATAGTATATGATAATGGGCAAAAAAATCAACTAAACTGTGCATTGCATGGTACAAAAGTTAGCTAGTATTGTAAACAAAGAAAGGAAAAGAAAAAAAAATTGTTGACAAACATAAATAATTATTAGAAACTCCGATAACCATGTATGATAGACTCTATTTTGAGTGACTTTAATTACATTAGAAAATTGTGGAAATAGTTTCAACATTCTTAATGCATTTGTACCAATAAAAAAAAAAAAAAAACTCTTAATCCTTTTGGAATTAAAGTAGTGTGGGTGTAGCTGATGATACTTATTCCAAAAATGTCTAACTGCCAGTCATAGTAAATTACTACACATTGAAGAAAAACATTGACTAAATGCCTCGTAGAAAAATCTAAACATTGAAGTTATATAAATGATTCTTTTTTGGAAATAATATGATCTTTAGCACAAAATCATCAACTTACAATTTACTAGTAACCACAAAACACACATTCATCGTAATCATAGAAATAAGACAACAAATTTACAAAATCTACACATACAGCTAACTGCACTACAAATACGACCTCTTGGTTGATCCTTTTACCACTTGGAAGAATCATAGAGTAATCAAAGTCGGTTCCAATTTTGAAAGAGATGAGTACATAATTATTAACATAGCAAAAATCATTATAATGTAGGAAACAAAAATTTCTCTCCCAAAATAATTTGAACTAAATAACTAAAAATGAAAAATTCCAACTAGAAAATAATTTACGGAAGGAACGAACAAATTAATTTATCATTTAGTTTTATTTTTCTTTCTTTTTCCCTTCTGGACTAAGCAATACCTATAATTCCTATTCGAACCAGGAAATCAATCATATCATCACTCCTATAAATACATTTAGAATAGGAGGGATCTCTCTTTTATTTTACACATCGTTTATCATCAGCCAGAATTTCTCTAACTTTAATTTTCTCATAGGACTGAAAATAAAACGCCAATAATATTCGTGGTTTCTGTTGGTTATTATTGTAGAAACATTACACCCTCAGTAAAGAAAAAAAAATAGTTTATATCGATTTTTAAGATATGTATGATTGTTCTATATTACTCCTCTTATTATTAATCAATGGAGTCTTTTGAGGAACCAAATAATTCAGCAACATACGCGTCACTGAGGATTGGGCGCACCTTAATTATATGAATCAACGGGGTAGGGGTTCTTAGGGCTGATGCCAAAGACACAAACATTCTTGTAAAATTATAGGTGAGAAACAGGCCATAAATACACTGTGGTCTTGGATCTCCATTTCAGTTCATCGAAAAAATGAAGGTTATGATCATTCATACAAAATTTTACGGTTGTACCCTGAAACAGGGAACTTAATACATGGCAGAAGGCAAAACAATTTCAATAATAAACCCTCAAGCTGTTATCTTACATCATTAAAACAAAACTACAAATTGTAGCAACTGCTAAAAGATTTCTCCTTGTAATTCTTCAGTGATGCAGCAGCTGCAACTCGATTTATCAGAATAGTAGTAATCATCGCATCCTTTGAATTACTGTTTCATCATAACGTCGAGAAAATCTAGAGGGCGAAAAACTTTGCCAGTTTGCAGTTGTCTTAAACCCATTTCGGGTCCAAATCCGTTGTGAATACTGCAACCCGTCAGCATCTCAAAGTCGGCCATGAGCTGAAAATTGTCATCAACCTGGACGGTTCTCTCCATTAACTCCAATGATCTTCTCGAAGCTTCTCGTTCTTTTCTCCTTTTTTCCGCTGCTTCCAGTGGGTCCTTTTGTTGAAATTCCTTTGGAAGGTTTTCTTCTTGTACTAATTTCTTTTGAGCATCTCTTCTGGGCGGCTTTTTTAAAGTCGCCGTGGTGGCGGATTTCAGGGTTGGAGCTCCAAAGCAGTCATCTTTGGCGGAAGAACATAACTTATTAGATGATCCAATTTCGCCACATTGTTCAGATTTAACCATGCCCCTGTTCTTCTCCTTCAGCTTCTCTGTCATTAAAGGCTTCGGGTTGGTTTTCAGAGTTGCCATTCCAGCAGTCTTCTTTGACACCCTGAAATCCGCATCTTCAGGGGAAGTCATAATACTGGAAATTTTACGCTTTCGACTTGAAATCATTGAAGAATTGCAGGAGGAGTGTGGTCAATATGATCATCTTCAGTTTATTTTTCTTTATTCTTGCTGAGTGTAGACTTTCTTTGATCAGCTAAGAATTTCTTCCTCATCGCTCCCACATTGCTTGGATTATTCGTCCGGCCCGATTTCTCTGAACACCCATCAACTTTCTTTGGTGCTTTCTTTGGATAACTGAACTTTCACGGTCCATAATCGAAAATCCTTCTTCTTCTCCCTAAAAATATCATCACCACGACAATCTTTGAAATTATTCACCGCCGTATTCACAAGTTTTCTTCTCAACTCCCACGCCGGAAAATCATCCATCTCTCCAGCTGAGAAAATCCCTAACTTCTTGAAGAATTGTCTTTCACTCCAGGACAATTCCTCACTCAGAATCTCGTTCACGACCAAATAATTATACGCTGAAGGAGAAGGCATCATCTTCATAATCGATGCTGTAGTAGTAGCCGTCTTCTTCTCCAGACCAAAAAGCAAAGAACAACGAGAGAAATCGAAAATAAGGGTTAGGGAATTAATCGTCCTACATTGCATGATCATGAGATATATATATATAAGCCATCCCAAGTTTCCAATTTCCATGTTGGAATGAGGTTTCCAGGTTATGTTCGATCGTTGTTTCATAATTTTACACTCGTCAAGATTAAGCTATTTAGTCACCGCCAAACTTTCCTTTTTCTTTTTGGTTTTTGAAAGTGTTTTTCTCGTTTTATATAAAGCTAAGGAATAAATCTATAAGAAAACCCGATTTATTCTTCTCACACATCTAACAAATTTTATAATTGATGATTTACATCTTCCAAGTTCCAACCCGGACAAATACACAAATTCCCAATAATTTAGTAACAGGCCAGAGGTATATCAGACGCGGTGTATTAATGGAAAGATCTGCAAGCCAAGTGTAATAACGCGTTGCTCAAGAACTTGGCGAGTTTTATCAATTGGGTCTTGAGCTACACGGTAAAAGAATCCGGGATATGGTTCTGTGATCCCGGATGCCGGGAATGCTGAATTGCATCCTTTAACTCAGGCTTTGGCGAGAAAAGTTGGTAAATCAGTTGTTGAATATAAAGAGATGTTATGGAAAAGGTGAAAACTGAAATAAGGTTTGAACATAGCTATGTCCATTTCAACGTTGGGCAATGATATTTGCGAGACACAGAGTTTTGGAGACTTTATGTCATGAGGAGGTTCGAGATGCTTGCTCTATAATTATGAGAACTTCTGACAGAGTGGTATATCTCCTACCCTATCTTCTAGAGCCTTTCATGCCATCTGTTTCTGCTGAGGTGCTAAAACAGCTCAATCTGACCCCTACGTAATCGCTTTCACTTTCTGATGTTGATATTGATAGGGCCTCAAGAGTCAAGACCACGGAACTTAAAGACAACCAAGTCGAAGTCGTTGCCCTGAGGAAATGGTTTGCTGGATGTTGATTATCATTGAGAGAAATTAATTGAAACTTTGAATCTTCTCCCACAATGTTGATCTTATGAAGAAGTTTTGTTGGTGGCTTCTTCTTCCACCCACTAAAATCTTAAAGCAGTTATATGGACTTTCGTCAATCATTTTGGGACGAAAGGGAGTCACAATTATAATTAAGTCACAAAAGGGAAAGTGCAGGAAACTGGAATTTCTTGCATTATCAACTGAAAGAAGAAAATTAGAATTTGAGCAACATAAATAAAAGAAAGAAAATTGAAAAATCTTTAAAGACTACATTGTGACTGACTTGAATTTCAAAGATATGGTAGAGCTATATTTATAGGCATAACAAGTAAAGCTCTCCTACTAGATAACAATAAAAAGAATAAATCTATCATCTAATTCATCACTTATACTTCTAACCTAGTCTATCTTGATTAACTCAAGAGGTGAAATGACTCTTTTTCTTAATAAAAGAAACTCCTCTTTTGATAATTATCTTTAACATCCTCCTTCAAACTGAGTCGGGGTTGGAGACACAATTTGCTTCTTGAGTGATTCTGACAACGGTTTTGGGTTGCTTGCTTGAAGTTTCATGATCTGTGAATGATAAGTTGTGAGTGATGGAAAGTGTGTTTTTGAGTGGTGTGCTGGAATTGTTGAGCTATTAGACATTGTTGAGAAACAAGATGTATCGATTCTCATAATTGTGTGGTTAGATTTTCGCATGAAAAGTCCAAGTTTCTTTTGAGAGGTGCTCGAACGTCTGTCATGATGTGGATTTTTGTAGATTGACACAGAGATAAGTCAACTACTAAGTTTTTTGGATCAACTGAAATTTAATTTTTGAAAAAAAAAATTTCTTTTTGGAGTTAATTTGAAATATTTGGGTGGATGGATTGGACCAAATTGGTTGGAGTGATAATATGGAAACACTTATGAGAAAATCACAAATGTATATATGTTGGTGTTGGAAGGAGAACATTGTAGGAGTTATGAATTTGATGAATTTGGAGTTTGATTATTTAAAGGCATTGACGTAGATGAGAATAGAAAAATGATGACTTATTTAGAAAAAAAAAAAATAAGCGGAATCAAGACTATAGAAGCAGGACAAAACCTGCTCCGATAGCAAGAAGAAAATTAGAATTTGAGCAACATAAATAAAAGAAAGAAAATTGAAAAATTTTTGAAAACTACATTGTGACTGACTTGAATTTCAAAGATATGTTAGATCCATATTTATAGGCATAACAAGTAAATCTCTCCTACTAGATAACAATAAAGAGAATAAATCTATCATCTAATTCATCACTTATCCTTCTAACCTAGTCTATCTTGATTAAGTCAAGAGGTGAAATGACTCTTTTTCTTAATAAAAGAAACTCCTCTTTTGATAATTATCTTTAATACTGAATAGTCAGTCAGTAGAAACAAAATTTGAATGGCAGCATTACAATCTTACAAATGAATATCCTCTTTTGTAAACATTCTTAATCGTGACAGAAGAAGAGCAAAGGAACCGGATTGAGATGACTTCATTTGCAGTTTCGTAAATAGTCAAATAATCAACTTTGTAAATGTTCAACAGGGTAGTTTTTAGATATAGTTGTAAATTCAAGTTTAGCGATGTAAATATCACATATTAGAGTCGGTTAGTTCATACAATGTAATTATTGGTATTAATACCAATATTAGGGCAAATGTAAATCATAAGCTGTGTTAATGAAAATTGCTTCCTCTTTATGCAAAGAAAACTCTCTCAAATCTTTACCCAAGTTCATCAAGATTAGGTCACAAGTTACATTTCTTGATCTTCTTACAAATTTACCCACAAACTCTATTTGGGAAACACCAAACATACAATGATAAATGGATGGACGGATCGAAATAAAATATATTACCCACTAAAGAGGAAGGAGGAGGAACGGATGCTGGAGACCTGTTGCCGACGGTCAGCGGAGGAGCTTCTCTGTTCGGTGTGATTCCAGGGGATTTGTCCGTGGAAGTGTTTCTGTTGTCGGCTTGTAGCCGGTGGACTGTTAATATTTGAGTATTGGATTCGTGTCATTGACCTTTTGACTGAAATTAATTCTTTGTTCAGTGTTCAAATTTAATTTCAAATGGAGCCCTTGTATTATTTTAAGATTGCAAAATACTTTCCACAAGTTCTCTTTTTCTTTTTATTATAGAATTTTTTTAAGTGATAATTCAAATTGCACTATTATTTCAAACCAGATGAGTTTTCTGTTTCCCCTCAAGTATACAGGCAAATCATCCACTGGAATGCTACATGGTGCTCCTTTAATACACACCATGCAACACAATCATTATCATAATATCATCAACAGTAAGTGAGATGTGGGTCATGCAAAAAGATATAACGTACCTTCCAAAATAAAGTAATTTAGGAAATTCACAATAATTTCTACCTTAAGAAATCTTATACAATTGTTATTGCATTAACATTTAATATTATAAAACTTAATTGTACTTTTTTCTATATTAGTTTTCACTAGGAGAGTATAATTAAATGAAATAGCCTAACCTACATTAAATATGGCTCACAAAACCTACTTAGTTTACACATTATCCACTATTGTGCGTTATTCACATCTTTGATGGCATATTTTTAAGGTTTTTATCTAATTTGTGAACCCACTCACAAGTTATTTGCAAAGTTGTTTATGGGCATCACTTAATAGGTCTGAAGAAAATTAATAGCACATCATATATGTTTTCCATATCAATTTGACCAGTTCAATTCTTGTACGGCCTGGTTATTGTTTGAATTAAGGAATTAAAAATATCAATGTCAATTCGTTAAAATCCAATAACACCTTACTATGACTATGCATGTGTACTGATATTTATTGCAAAGTTATACTTGTAAAAATTACATATACAAATTTGTAGTAAAAACTTAACGATTCCGATAGTGAGTGAAGTAAAATCTTCGTTATCTTCGTTACTTACAAAAGTGAAGTAAATTAATTAATCACAATAGTATGACTTCTATTTATATGAAGTAGGAAATGTACTAGTGTGTTCATTCAATCAGTAGGAAGATTGTAAAAGTGAGTTCTGAAAACACTTTGTATAAATCAAATTCATCTCCTAAACTTGTAATAGTACTTGTAAGACTAATTTTTTTTCTATATTTAGTACACACAAATACAAAGATGAACACGGTGGGACAATGTATCAAAGCAACTTAATAAACTCTGAAAAGTTTTACTACAAACATCGAGTCTGAGAATCAACAAAGCATATCTATATTTTCTTGCAATGGCCTCAATTCCCAATGATATTGTTTTGTGAGAACATGTTGGTTTACTTTGTTGAGAGTGTTAGCGTACATATCTTTGTAACAATGACCCTATCAACACCCAATTAGAGTTCTACAAACAGTATACAACATGTTCACATTTTTTTTTCTTTTTTTTTATTATATATATATATATATATTAAAGGGATCAATAGTGGTTCCCCACTTACCCCCAGTGTGACTTGAACCCGTGACCTATTGGTCAACAAGTGAGGTGTCTTACCACTAAGCTGCACCTTGTTGTCACAACATATTATTTGAGTCGAATTGTCTTAAAATATGAACGGTTTAAATTTAGTATCACACTGGTACTTAAAAAAATTGATAAACGTATAATTTAATTCCCTTGTTTTGTTTTGCAATTATTTACTTTGTTCTGAATAGCATATGATAATAGGAAAAAAAAATATCAACTAAATTGCATATTGTGCGGTACAAAAGTTGGGTAGTATTGTAAAAAAAAAAAAGTGAAAGGATTGTTGTCAAACAAAAATAATTAGAAACTCCAATATGATAGACTCCATTTTCAGTGACTTTAACTACATTAGAAAATTAGGGAAATAGTTTCAACGTTCTTAATGCGTTTGTACCAAAAAAAAAAAAAAAACTCTTAATGCGTGCCAAATCCCATCATTAACTTCTCGGAATTAAAATGGTGTGATTGTAGCTGATGATGATACTTATTCCAAAAATGTCTAACTATGAGTTATAGTAAATTACTACACATTGAAGAAAAACGTTAACTAAATGCCTCGTAGAAAAATCTAAACTCGAGTTCTAAATATGATTCTTTTCTGGAAACAATATAATCTTTAGCACAAAATCATAAACTTACAATTTATTAGCAAACGCAAAACACACATTCATCATTATCTTAGAAACAGGACAATAAATGTACAAAATCTATAGATACAGCTAGCTACACTACATCTTAGTTGATCCTTTTACCCCTTGGAAGAATTAGACAACAATCAAAGTCGGTTCCATTTGTGAAATAGATGACTACATTATGTAGGAAACAAGAATTTCTCTCCCAAAATAATTTGAACTAAATAACTAAAAATAAAAAATATAAACTGGACAATAATTTCAAGACGGAATGAGTAGTTTAATTTATCGTTTAGTTTTATATTTTTTTTCTTTTTCCCTTCTGGACTAAGCGGAACCTGGAAATCAATCGTATCATCACTCCAATAAATACAGAAGAGAATGGATCTCTCTTTTATTTTACACATTAATTTTTCATCATCAACCCAACATCCTCTAACTTCTATTTTCTGAGAGGGCTGAAAATAAAACGCTAATTATATTCGTGGTTTCTATTAATTATCATTGTAGAAATATTACTCTCTCTGTATCAAAAAAAAAATTGTTTACATCGAGTTTTGAGATATGTATGCATTATTCTATATTACTATTATTAATTAATGGAGTCGTCAGAGGAACCGAATAATTCAGCACCCAAGCATCCTATCCCTGGGAAAAGGACTGTTTTGATCACCGGAGCTCTATGCTGAGTGCAGATGTATTTGCTCGCTTCTTTAGACTGAGAGGGAATACATGGCAGAAGGCAAAACTATATCAATAACTAACCCTGAAACTGATATCTTACATCATTGAAACAAAAATTAAAAATCATAATTGTATTCCAGTAACTGCTAAAATATTTCCCCTTCTTCAAATTCTTCAGTGATGCAGTTGCTGCAACTCGATTCATTTGAATAATAGTAATCCTTGCATCTTTTGAATTCCTATTTCATCACAACGTCGAGAAAATCCAGAGGGCGAAAAAACTTTGCCAGTTTGCAGTTGTCTTAGACCCATTTCGTCCAAATCCGTTGTGAACACTGCAACCCGTCCGCATCTCAAAGTCGCCCATGAGTGGAAAATTATCTTCAACCTAGACGGTTTTCTCCATTAACTCCAATGATCTTCTCGAAGCTCCTCGTTCTTTTCTCCTTTCTTCTGCTGCTTCCATTGCATCTTCTTGCTGAACTTCCTTTGGAAGGTTTTCTTCTTGTACTACTAATTTCTTTGGAGCATCTCTTCTGGGTGGCTTTTGCAACGTCGCCGTGGTGGCGGCTTTCACGTCATCTTTTGGAGAAGAACATTCCTTATAAGATGATCCATTTTCACCACATTGTTCCGATTTAATCATGCCCCGGTTCTTCTCCTTCACCTTCAGCTTCTCTTTCATTAATGGATCTATCTGCGCTCGGGTTGGTTTTCAGAGTTGCCCATCCTAAAATTTTCATATTCAGGGGAAGTCATAGTACTGGAAATTTTACACTTTCCACCTGAAATAATTGAAGATATGGAAGGCATAGTGTTGTTAACATTACCCCTGTTTCTTTTTCTTTATTCTTGCTGAGTGTAGCCTTTCTTTGATCGGCTAAGAATTTCTTCCTCATCGCTCCCATTTTGCCCGGACTATTCTCCGACGACTGATCAACTTTCTTTTGTACTTTCTTAGAACCTGCAGATTCAGCCAAACTTCCAGATTTAGCAGCAACCTTCGAAAAGTTTTTTGCTAAATGAACTTCCATAGTCGATAATCGCAAATCCTTCTTGCAATTAGGAGAATTTATAGTATCGGAAGATTTCATCAGATTATTCACCGTATTCTGATGAGGGTTACGATTATTTACCTTGTTTAGAAGTTCCCTTCGCAACTCCCACGCCGGAAACTCGCCCAACTTTCCGGCTGAGAACATCCCTGACTTCTTGAAGAATTGTTTTTTCACTCCAGGACAATTCCTCACTCAGAATCTCGTTCACCCCCAAATGATTCTCCACTGAAGGCATCATTTTCTTTACCGATGCTGTAGTAGTAGCCATTTTCTTCTCCAGATCAACAAACAAAGAACAAGGAGAAATAAAAAATAAGGTGTTAGGGAATTAATCGTCCTTCATGCCTGATCATTATATATAAAAGTCATCCCAAGTTTCAAATTTCCAGGGTGGAATGAGGTTTCCAGGTCATGTTCCATCGTTATTTCCTAATTTTACATTCATCAAGTTTATGGTATTTCATCACCGCCAAACTTTCCTTTTTCTGCTCGGTTTTTAAAAGTGTTTTTCTTCTTTCATATGAATCCACATAATTAATGATTTTCGTCACACTTCCAACCCGGCTTTCACAAAAATATAATTCTGTTCCCAATAGTTTAGTAACTTCTTGACGATATTATTTACTCAAAAACATGCCAAAAGTTATTAGACGCGGTGTTTAAATGGGAACATCTGCAAGCTAATCTGTAATAACGAGTTGCTCGAAAACTTAGGGAATTTTATCAATTGGGTCTTGAGCTACATGGTAAAAGATCCAGGATATGGTTCCATGATCCCTGATGCCGAGAATGCTGAATCGCATACTTTAACACAGGCTTTGGCACGAAATGTTGGCTCTGTTACCCGTACTCGCCCCTTTGGGGTACAATACTCATGTCGACACGGGTGCGGGTGTGAGATCCATACAAGATCTGATTATATCCGTGAAGATGCGTTGACTTTTGCCGACCACCTCTACAAAATTGTTCCGCCGCCGCTCTAAATTTTTTTTTTTTCTATACTGAGGAAGCTTTAACGCTTTGGAATTACAAAAAGGTGCTTTGGAGGGGAAGCGGGGTGTCAAATGCTAATTTTTCTACGATGCTATCCTGGGGTGTGACAAAATGCACCCCCGGTTAGAAGATAATCCTAATTTTGCTAAGGAGTTCGCTACTTTGTTCTCCTCTCTTTTAATATACAAAATGTCTAGTTGCCATTGCTGGTTAAGGATGGATCCGATTCTTGGAAGGAGGTTGCTAAATACAGCCGGAGATTCATCATCATCATTTAGGTTCTTAACGGCTTGGAGACTGTCCATTTGCAACTGGATTTTTCTGAAACCCAGTTGCCACTCAATTTTGAGACCCAAATATGTTCACCAGAAATCTGTTTCGAGGACAGAACAAGAGCCAATCTTTGCTGTGAAACCATTGATCTAACAACCAACATGATCTTGAAAGACGCCCCCTGCAGTAGCTATTTTTGTGGGGGAATTGACTACTCCGTCAGTGTTGAGGCATATCCATGGCCACGGTGGAGGCCTCCAGCGAGGAGTTGGGCAAAAATCGGCGTTAGAGGAAGAATGGCTGCCTTCATTCAGATGCTGAATTTCCTTCGCAGCCGTCGAGATGGAAATTGAGAGAATTCTAGGGTTGATATAGCTATCGTTGAAGATTTCATTGTTTCTTGCTTGCCACATCTTCCAGTAGGTGACTGCGAACAAGGTCCTCCAACAGATAGTACCCTGCAAAGACGAGGTAGAAAGATTAGATGAAATCCAGATAGGCCAGTTTGATTCGAGCCAAAAGGCTGAGTCAAGACTGTTGTTGACGCGGTGCCATGTGAGTTTAGCTTTCAGACAATCTCTGAAAATATGAAACAGAGTTTCAGGTTGGGCACAGAAGATGCAGACGTCTGATTCAGCGATATGTCTCTATTTTCTTTCTACATTCGTCATCAGGGATCCTCTTAGGAGTGACCAGAGGAAGATTCTGATTTTTTTAGGTCCTTTCCACTACCACATCATGTCCCATTTCTTGTCTTCAGGCTCCCAAACATTCTGGTTAATGGCCCGCAAAGCTGAGGACATGGAAAATTTTCCATTCTTAGACCATTTCCAAACAGGTTTGCCGGCGCCCAGGTGGGTCTCTGGAGGGGGTACCGCCCGGATTAACTCTTGTGAAGTTTTATACATCCATGGTTTCATCATTGACGATGCATGGAATTGTACGGTGCTCAGGACGGGCGGCGATGATGATCTGGGCGGCGGCGGACGGCCTTAAACCTACAAGACAGAGCCTCGAGTGTCTTCCGAGGGTAGACTCTCCGATACTTAAGTCAGTAAAGAGATATAAAGAATAGAGGGAATAGAGAGAGATGTGTGTGTGTCGTGTGTTTGGGGTGTAGAGAATATCTATTATGGGAGAGGCACCACCTCTTTATATAGAGGTGATGTTACCTGTTTATGTAAACCTAATCGGAATAGGTTTAGACAGTGGATTAATCTCCAAGTAACCTAATCCTAGGCCCAATAGGCCTAGGGTTTATTTGGACTCGTCAAGTGCCCCTAGCAAGCCATATTCTCGAGACTTGATGAGAAGGATATGGGTTGCTACAATTGTTGAGTCTTCTCAAGTTTCATGGTGTTGCCCCAGTTCTCGAACTCTTTTGTTCTCGGGTGTCACCTATATAAGATAAAAAGGTAGATATATTCGAGAATCGTGTTCTCAGGTTAGTTCATATATGCCTGTCGTGCAGGTCTTTCGGTTCCTTTCTGATGTGGGGTGGTCCCCAGTGCCTAATTTGAAGGGTGGCCCCTATATGTTTGGATGCTCGAGATGCGATATATAATATAATAATGTAATGACAAATAATAATAGGATGATTATGAGAAATATCAGTTTACGCAGAGGATGTTAGGATGATCCCTCAAGTTTCTTGCCCCTAGGGTATTTTCCAGTTTGTGTCCCGAGGTGATTTTTCTCGTTGAAGGCAACCTCGAGGTGATTTTCCTCATTGCAAGGTGATGGGTATTTTCCCTAAAGGTTTGGTTCCTCGAAAGATTCCTTTGATCGTGCTTAAAAAAGATATTGTGACATGATAGTAGTAATATGCCAATGATATCAGTAGTAGATACACATATATTCGATAAACATATTAGAAAAGGTTTGAGAAGTACCTCGATCTCGTAATAAATTAATTATTCGAGAAAATGTTACCTCGATTCCGATAAGGTGTTACCTCGATTTCGAGAAGGTAGTAGTTGAGTAGATAAAAGTCGAGATACATCTGCTCGAACACTTCGAGTAGTAGAATGGTGCTCGAGGGATGTGTGCTCGAATACTTCGTGTAGTAGTGTGTTGCTCGAGGGATGCTTGCCCCTTCGAGGAGATGTATCTCTCGAAACTTCAATATTCGAGATTGTCCCTTGCTTTGAGTGACTTGAGAGCTTATCTGTAAAATTATTAAAATATTAGGGTTTAAATTATAATAATCAAAATTATTAGGGATTAAGTGACAATTCATGAATTGAGGAATTTTCCTCAGCTGATTTTCTGCCCCTTTCAAGGGCTTTTGAACCCCAGGGACGAATTATTCTCGAGCAGTTGGCTTCTTTTAGTTATCGTGAGCTGCTTGCTTGTTGCTACGACTTCTCGGTTGCAAATCCGACCACCATCATGATCACTATGAGACACCAATAAATTCCAACTTTGCTTCAAGAAATTATTTGGTTGTGAAGACCAAATCAATCGGTCCCACTGGACGTGCCACTTGACGATGCATGGAATTGTACGGTGCTCAGGACGAGCGACGATGATGATTTGGGCGGTGGCGGACGGCCTTAAAACTACAAGACAGAGCCTCGGGTGTCTCCCGAGGGTAGACTCTCCGATACTTAAGTCGGTAAAGAGATATAAAGAATAGAGGGAATAGAGAGAGATGTGTGTGTGTCGTGTGTTTGGGGTGTAGAGAATATCTATTATGGGAGAGGCACCACCTTTTTATATAGAGGTGATGTTACCTGTTTATGTAAACCTAGTCGGAATAGGTTTAGACAGTGGATTAATCTCCAAGTAACCTAATCCTAGGCCCAATAGGCCTAGGGTTTATTTGGACTCGTCAATCATATTCCATGCCCAGTTTCCTCGATGATCAACAAGGTCTTTTACCTTGAGATGAACGAGGTGAGGAGGAATTGGAGCAGCAGATAGCTGAGCTAGGGGCTGAGAAGTATCAAGCCACAAATCATTCTAGAAGGAGATTTATCCACCATCATTCACGATCCATCTGATGCTATTCAACGCAATGTTCAAGATTTTAGCCAATTGTTTCGCTAAATGCGACATTCCAGCGTGTTGGAAAAGTGGACCAACTTCATGGTTGGCAGCATACGTTGCTTTGAAAATAGCCGTCCAGAGAGAGGTTATGCCTGAAATTAACTCCCATGCTAACTTCAGCAGAAAGGTGGTATTAACATCTCGAAGCTTTCATAGCCGAGACCTCCGTGATTTTTGGGTTGGCATATGATATTCCAACTGACTTCATTCAACTTTCTTTCCCCACATTTTGCTCCCCAAAGAAAGTTTCTTCTGATTTTGTCAATCTCATCACTTACGCCTTTGGGGATTACCTGCAATTGCATAATATATATAGGGAAAGCAGCAAGAACTGATTGACAGAGAGTTAAGTGACCAGCCATTCTAATCTTGTGGGGGCTCCAACCCATTGTTCGCTGTTTTACACGACAAATTAATGGCTGCAATGTTTCTTTTTTAATCCTACCGTGGATGATTGGAATCCAAAGGTAATTGCCCAGGTTGCTTACCAATTGGACACCAAGAGCCTGGCTGAGTGACTTCGCCAAGCTAGGATCAACATTAGGTGAGCAAAACATAACTGACTTGCTGCTACTAATCATCTGCCCTGAAGCTTTACAAAAAAGTCATAGTGTTTCTTGAATACCACTAACCAGTTGAAGATCAGCTTCTGCAAAGAGAATAAGATCGTCAGTGAAAAATAAATGAGAGAGAGGGATTAGATTGTAACCGAAAGATAATGGTTTCCATCTTACGGCATTGACCTCAACATTGATTGCATGGGAGAGTCTTTCCATACACAGAACAAACACATAGGGAGAGAATGGGTCTCCTTGTCGGACCCCTCGGTTTGGCTTAAACGCTTCAGCCAATTTCCCATTCCAAAGAACTTGGGTTTTGATCCCGTCTGGAGGTAGCTGATGATGACTCTATATATATACTAGGGGATTCCTGCGTCCTTCAAGGTATCTT